GATATAGAAATTTATAATTTTTATATTTTTAAAATTTATTATTTTATATAAAAAATATATAATTATTTTTAATTTGTTTAATAACTAACTACCACTAAAGCTTATTTAGAGAGAGCAATTAAGATTAAGATCAGGAGACTTTATATAATAATTTTTAGTAGTATATATCATAAATTAAACAAAAATTAGAGATAATTAATGTAATTTATATAACATTAGTGATAATTAAACTTAACTTTCTATGTAAATTAAAGAGTTTTACATAATATAATGTATTTTTATTTATTTAAATTCATATAAAAAATAGTGGGGTAATAAGGTTTCGTTTGACGATGCTATTTACAATATTTTTCACATATATTTACAATACTTTTCATAATTTATACACTTGGTAAATTATTCATATATAATTTTTTGAAAAGAAATACAAAAGCCATTTTATTAAAAATTAATAGAATTCTTAAATAATTTAATAGAATTCACAAATCCTTTTTGACACTATTTATTAAATTATTAATTAATTTAATTTTAAATAATAATTTGTCTAATTGAGTAATTTTATGATAGATAATTTTTTTAAAACATAATTACTAAATACTAAAATGCTTTTTGTGACAATACAATATAATATTTCTAACAATTATGTTATAGAACAACACGAAATAACATTATCAAACTAAACCTAAGTGAAATATATTTGGTATAACTTTAAAATGTATATCAAATATGATAAGAAATCTTGCTATTGCTATTATATGAGTAGTGAAAACTTTAAAAGTATATTAATTTAAATTTTATATTAATTAATTATAGTAAAATCAAATGTGTTTAATGAAAACATGAAAATATATATTTAAAGTGTACTTAACCATTGACATTTGTGAAATTATGGACTTAAAAGTTGTACTTTTCTACAAGTAATTTCATAATTGTTCATTTTATTCATGTTGTGTAAATTTTTTATGATTAAAGGTTTGACGTTAGATGGAGAGAATTAGAAGAAAATAACTTAATTGCAAAGAGCTAGAAAGATGAAGATCCAAGTATTAAATTTGGAAATTTGAAGGCTCAAGTGGATTTTCTCCATTTTTTGGAAATTTGGAAATTTCATATAAGATTAGTAATACTCTTTTTATGTGTAATTTGTTAAAATATAATTGATTAATGATTTGTTTTACAAGTTGATCTTTTACTTCAATATTATCAATTAGATATATTGTCACTCTCGGATAACTTGTAAGGATAGATTAATTTGTTCTTTATTGAAATCAATTTTTTTTTCAAAATAAATATATTAGTTATTATTATTAGTTTTCAAAGTTAAATCAATCACATAACCAAAGGATGTTAATTTTGGGACGAGACAATGTTAAAATTTTAACTCTTGATATCAATGCTTTTGGGCCCGGCCTGATGGTTGGTCCGTTTTGACCACTAGGTCTGGTTCAATCAATTGAACCAATTCACTCAATCGGTTCAACTGATTGAATCGGTTCATCGATTGATTTAACCAGTCAACTAAATTTTTTTTTAAAACATTTTTATTGAATTTCACTCTATTTTTAAGAAATAATCATCATAAGGTCAACTTAAAAATTGTCATTTAACTAATTTAAAATAATAAATTTAATTAAATACATATAATTTTTAAATCAAAACTAACAAATATTAAAATAAATAATATAAAATAAATTCACCAAGCATGATAATAATGAAAAACTCAATTTTAAATTAAATTTACTACGAAATAAATACTAAATATAAAAGAAAATCTCAAATCAAATCCACAAATCTAGTACAAAATAATAAGTCTTGAATATATATATAAAAAAATCTCAAACCAAATTCATAACAAAAATAAATGTTAATAGAGGAGAGCTACTATAGAGGGGATGAGGAAAATTTCGATTTCTACTACTACTTTTGGTCGGTGGAGCAGGAGAAGAAGGCAGTAGTAGAGGAGATGAGGAGTAAAAGGCAGTTGTTGTTTAGTGGAGGAGGAAGATTCTGATTTCTGTTGCTGCTTTTGTTCGGTGGAGCAAGAGAAGAAGGGCAGCGACAGAGGAGATGAGGAAGAGAAGGAGGGCAACGACGAGGGAGATGATCTGTTCTGTAATAGTGTAACTTTTGTTCTACTTTACTATTTCAGTTCAGTGAAGCAAGGAGGAGGTGGTTAGCAGTCAATAGAGGAGATGAGGAGGAGGTGCTCAAATGAGGAGATGAGGTAGATGAAGAGATCTGAACATAACAGATGAGGTAGATGAGGTAGATGAAGACGATCGGCGAAGGAGAATAAGCACAGCGACGAAGGGGATGATCGACAGACGATTGATGAAAGAGAAGATCTATTCTTCTGCAGTTCTGTTGGTTTTTTGGGTTTTGCATTTGTTTCACACTTTCCCGATTCTTAGGGGTTTTACTTTTTAGCTTAATTGATTTTTAATTTAAGTTAAAAACTTAAAATTAAAAAGTTAAAAAACTTTAAAAAGATGATGAAATTCAACCCGGCCAGTTGTAGCAGGTCGCACGGGTTTAGTAGGCGTGATGGGTGGGACGGGTTTCAACGGGTCATTGAACTAAACGGACTGAAGTCTTCAACCGGCCCATTTTTAGGCCCAGGTCCGATTCAACCGGTTCAACCGATTGGGTTGGGCCGGTCCAAAAACATTGCTTGATATCATTTAAAATCAATTTATTTATTTTTTTAAAATTAGTTTAGATAATTAATTTATTTAAATAATTAAATTTTAATTGTTTAAATAAAATTAAAATTAGTTATTTTTAATAGTTTATTATCACTATAAAATAATATTTAATTTTTGTCGTTAGAATACTTAAATTGACTAATAGTTTTGTTAGAGTAAAATTAGTTCACCAATTTAAACCATGGGAGCAGACCCTAACATTGGGATTTTTCACTTGTTCTTGTTTTAAGGGAATTCAAGGAACAAAATTCCGGAAACTTGGAACAATCAAAATCTGTAAGCCTGAATTATTCAATTTTAGAGCTTTATGATGACAAGTGCAGCTGCTTCTGTGCATTCCATCTGTGCAAAATCTTGCCAAAAACATCATAGAAAACAATGTCTGCCTCAGATTGAGTCAATTGCACAGACATAAAACCCTGCCCGTCGTAGAAGAAGTTGAGCCCTCTTCTGTTTTCATCTTTGACATCTCCTCTCCATGCCTTGGACCCTGCTCCACTCGTCAAGAACTGTATCGGACTCTCTGTGTCACTGATATGCTCCAAGCAGTGGTCATGACCATTCATGTAGAAATCAACATTATTAGCCTGCGATTTTTTAAAATGCAGTCAAATGAATTGATCTCCATCAAATACATCTAATCTAAAACGAATCAGCAATAGAAGACGTAACCTATGCTATTTTCTGAGTTAGATTTCCTACTTAACATTCAAAATTATAACTTACCTTGAGAATTGGGAGGAGAAGATTCACAAGTTCCTGTGTATCGCCATGATGTCCAACACTTCTAATTGCATGATGACCCACAACAATCTTCCATTTCGCAGTTGATTCCATTAATACAGATTCTACGTCGTTGAGTAGGTTCTTGATGTATGGTTTCCGTGGAGTGATACCCCGCCAATCGTAATTGTGACCATCTGTTTCGGTGAAGTACTTCTCCACGAATGGAGAGGTGTCTACGAAGATTATCTCTGCTAATTCTACAGGAAAAAGAAGCGGTTTCATAAGTTACTCTGTTTTTCATCTTTCCTGTTTTTAATGGAACCATTTTCTAATTTCTTTGCAAAGAAGTTACTACTTAGTCATTGTAGAGAATTGAACTCACGATCTTAATACCAGAATTCAGGTTTTGAATTACCATACCTGCATCAACGATGAAGGATCTCAAGCAAAGCCATCTGCTGTCAATATTCCGAAGAACAGGGCTCAGTTGTGCTTCTGCATCGCCTCTGTAATCATGGTTGCCCAATACTGCATGCAATTCACCAGAAAATGTCATATAAAAATACCTAATCAATGGAGTGAAGGTAGTGGTGCAGAAATATATTTTTATATATACCGCTGTACCACTGCTTTTGCAGGCTTTTAGCAGTGTAGATCTTGGTAAATGAATCCTCAAATGCGGTGTCATGTTCGTCCCTCAATCCATTGTCGTAGAAATTATCTCCAGTGGAAACTACAAAACCGATGTTGAGCTTCTCCCCAGTACGTCCCATCTGAAGAGCAACTTGAGATTGGTTGAAGGCTCCTCTTCTACCCCAGTCTCCAACCACGAGAAAGCTGAGGGAACCATCTCTTTTGGTGGGCTGTTGGAATGTTCGAAGCTCTGCGGAGGTCGAAACAAACCCACAAGCAATTGCTAGGAAAAAGCACAAAGCCTTCGTTTTTCTCAAAGAAATAGCTGCCATGGGAGAGTAGTATAAGAGAAAACCCACAGATCAAGTTATGTAGTATTGTACTAGCTACCCTGATGCTCTTTTATATGGTACTAAAAGTTAATGCCAGGGGCTGTGAGTTGGTTTGGTTAAGCCATGATCATAAAACTTAAATTTGAAATTGATTACTAACTCAATACTTTTTTTTTTTCAATTTAACTTTGGATATTTAAGAATTATATTAGATATTAATTAATTTAGATTAAATTCACATCAAATTCAATAAAAAGAATTTTTTTAACATATGTTTCTTTATTTATAAGTTTTTAATTCAAAATTTTATTTAAAAAAAATAAATTTCTTCATCAAATTAGCAAATCATTAATATTCCTTAATATTTATTTAGTAGTAAATCTAACACAAGAAGTTTTGGCAACCACCTAAGTTAAGTAATTTAATAGTTATTTTTTTTATTCGAAATAAAAAATTTTAAATTTGAGTTGTACGATATATGAATGAGATAAAATAAGAGATGATAATAGTTGACTCTTTTTTAAAAAAAAAAAAAAACCACAGGAAGTTTTTCACTTTACTATGAAATTCATGGCACTTAGCCTGTTCTCATCTAGCGAGCAACAAAAAGAAAGAAATTAAACGAGAAAAAAAAATTGTCAGAAAGAAGGTTTAATGTAAATCCGAGGTGATGAAGAGGGAGAATAGATGGGGTGATGGAGAGGGGAAGAACATGCTTGTCGGACAGAGTTCTGACTTCTGAGGCAGATCAATGGTATATGCGAATATGCCTCTGATTGAGTATTGGATAAACTCTCAACCCATAGAATATTCCGCGTGCGCGCGGCCCCAAGGTCATGATATTTCTGTACATTATAAAATATGATGGATGGATTTGGGATTTAGATATACAATTTCATTTCTTTTTTAGTTAATATTACAGTAAAAAAAATTCCCTCAAGTACCGAACCCTTCGGGTCAAGTGGCAATAGCCACTCATGATGCGTTTCCCCCTCCCCTAGGGCTGGGTTCGAACCCAACCCTTTGTAAAAATCTGTTCAAAAAAAAAAAAAAAAATTCCCTCAAGTGACTCGCTCCCAAGGACTGAGGTTGTTGCGAGTTGCAACTATAATTTTTGTTAAGGTAATTAATTTGAGTGTAATTTTATTAGCGTGTAATTTTTTTTAAAAAAGATTAGTTATAGTATTTAAAAATATTTATTTATAAATTAATTTTAATTAATTAATTAATATTAATTATTTTATTAATTGTAAATTATTTTTCATAATCAAATTAAAATAAAACCTTAATAACTTTTAATAACTTTAGTAATAATCATAAATACAATCGCTCAAAAGACTCTACATCAATAGTTAATAAATAGGCGATGATCTTTTCAATTATGCATTTATTTTGTTGACAACTCTCACTCGTCCCCTTTCCCACCTACTAATATACTACCACCATATGCTCCAAATTCAAAATTTTTTGATTTTATTAAAAAGAAAAATTATCAATGCATCATTGAAGTCGTGGGTATGATGGACTTATTTTTAATAAATTAGTCATTCAAATGCATCCTAATGCGTTAGATTAAGATATCAAGAGTGGTAGACCACTCGTCAAATTATGGGTTCTTCGTCTCTCTTTACTTAGTTGAGCAACCTTTATGTTGTGTTTAAAATTATTGAAAAGTGTTGTAATTGTGAATTTTTTAATATTTTATTAAAAAAATTATGTTATTATTTCACAATTACTTAAAAAATAAATTTATATATTAATATGATTACAAAATTATATAAAATATTAATTAAAATTAATTTAATGATAATAAATTAATATTTTTATAAAATATTATGTAAAAAAGTGGTATAAAAAAGCACCCATAAACGTAACCTATACTTAACTTTGCAATTTTTATTTTAGCTCTCTATTTTAGTACATTTGACACTTAGGCACTTAGTTGGTCACACTTATATATCATTCACCGCTTGTTTATCTTCAAAATTGTGTAGGAGAACAGCATGGGTCCTATCCTGCCTAACAATTATAAATTGACATTTAAGGCTTATTGACTAGTTACATAAAAGTCAATTTTTCTTGCTCTATGAAGTTTGCAAGTGTGAAACCAAAAGAGGTTGTTAGATCTAATGATGGGCTTGGTAAACATGAAATCAACGAGTCCTTTCTAGTATTGGATTTGGATCTTCCCCCCTAATTGGGTTTGATACAGCCCAATTAACAAAGTCGGTTATGATGCACTTGTAGGTTTCCGTTGTCTTACATAAAAACTGAGATATCTTCTTTTAATTATAGTTGCAATTTTTACATTGCAAAAAATCTCTATTTTGTGTATTATATTCGTAATTTGAGAAAGAATTCATCAATGTCGCAGACTATTGGGGCGAACGCTTTTAGGGAGGAAGAAGAAAACGCTGCAGAACTCAAAATTGGAGACGGTATTTCCCGTCTCTATTACCCCTTTTATCATTGTTCTTTATGTTCATCAATGCTGTTTTACGGATTTTTTTTTTTTTTTTATATATCCGATAATGAATTATACGACGTGAATAACTACTTTCGTGTCATTTGAATATGAAATCAAAGACATCATAGGGATTGTTTGATATCAATTTTAATTCTTGATTTGTATATGTTTTGACTTTTAGAAAAGAAACAGAAACCAATTAACGAAACTTGTCTAAGTTGTCTTGTAAAAACTATTGATCCAAAAAAATGTGAAATTTAATCAAAGGACTCTCTAACCTTTTCTTTAAAAAAAAAAAAAATTATGGGGCCATTACCAAAAGTAGCTTGTTTCCCATGAAGATCAATGGTGCTGTCCAAGGCAAGTGCTTAAGATCTTCAAAGTCTCCCTGGATCCTCTTTAGATCATTCTAACTATTTTCTCAGCTACAGTGTCCTTTTGATTCATTTAACAATTAATAATGCCATAATGCCTACCTGCTTATTATTTTTTTTTCATCCACATGTCTTTTTTTAGTTGTTTCTCTATAATTAGTAATTAATCTTCAGACATGAAAAGTTGAATATTGATTCTTTCTAGTGGTTAGTTGGTGAGTTTAGTCATTGATGTGAACATAAGAACTTCTGTGCTTAAAACCCTTATTTTAATTATTTAGATCTTTCCTGTTCCAATATGGGAATTAGGTTGTCAATATAGGTCTATACTTTGGCGTCTCATCCCATCATTGTTGAGAATATTGTTGATGTGTGCAACTTTTCTTCAGTTCCAGTGGGTTTGTATTTTTTTATCAGAAAAGTAAAGTATAGTTTGACTTATCGTAAACTATACTTTACTTAACAATCGATAAAAAGAGTAAATCTTTTAAAATTAAAAGCTCACCCCTTTACTAATGATTAATTGTTTTGCACAAACCATAAAACAACATTTTTTTCTTTTTTATTCTTTAGATTTTTGCATGCAATTAAATTTGACTGCCTAAATGATGAGCTTGCATGGTGTGCTTTTCAGAATTCTTGAAGGCAAAATGTCTCATGAATTGTGAGGTGGCCATACTTCTTGAGCACAGATGTGAGCAACTTAGGCATGTGTCTGAGGATGCCATGAATCAAGTTCCTCAGTAATAAGAAACTAATAACATCGATCCTCTCTTTTTATCTTATTGTTTGATATGTGAGACTGTAATAGTTTTTCTGTTCATAGTTCATATATCAATTTTGAAGGTTTCATCACCTTGCAATGAGCAACATTGTAACTTATCTTTTATTTTCAGGGTATTTGAGAAGTCACTGCAGTATGTCAAGCGCTTTAGCCGTTTCAGCAACCAGGAAGCTGTAAAGCAAGTTAGAGAGTATCCTTTTCTTTCTGTGTGCATGGGAAACTATAGAATGCAGTTTAAATGTCTAATATCCAAACTGTCTAATTCTTAACTTCTGACATTCAGAGTCCTTAGTCGATATGGGTTGACAGAATTTGAGGTACTACATTTATATTTCTATACCAAATAGTTAATCAAATTAAGTTTAAGGGTTGATTCTAAGCTCTTGAATTGATATGTTACGTTCTCTTGCTTTCTAACCTGTAGCTTTCTGTGCTTGGAAATTTTTGCCCTGAAAATGCAGCGGAAGCTATTGCTGCCGTGCCAACTCTCAAGGTATATATACTTTCAAAGGTGTTTTTCTTATAATAAATTTTCAGAAAAGTCGTCTACAGTCAATCCAGGTTGTTAACAGATGAGAATCAGTTCTTTTAAGAATCATAGATGCACATAACAACTCATCAACGGTATTTTTGCCTTAGTTTGAACTGAAAAACATTGATCTCTTAAATTTAACTCCAACATATACCATTGTCATATTGATATTTAATTTCATTAAGAATTTTTTTTTTATTTTAAATTAAGAAGGATGATACTGAATTACATGTCTTATTGTAAACATATATGATCTCCCTAATTCGGTCTTTCTGTGCTCTAATTATGGAATCGTTTTATTTTCCAGACTAAGGGACGAGGCCTTGATGAAGAAACCATTCAGAAATTATTGGATGAGCTAGCGATGATTAAAAAGTTCCAATTATAAGCAGTCAGTAGTTGGCCCCTTTACTTCCTTGAGTTATTTAGCTTCAAATTAAATATCTTTGAATGTTGAGTTCTGAAGCAGTATACCAAAAGTCTATTGATCAACTACCATTGAAACCTTTTCAATTTTCTTTGGTAGGTTCTAAAGTTTGAAACGATGGAATGAAATAACTTAGAGTCTGTTTGATGATTTGTTTGATTTGAAGGGAGGTTGGGAGAGCTTTAGAAGAAATAGATCTCATATTTTACCTTGACAAGCTTATATAATCATCTTAAAATCACATTTGGGTTTGAGAATAATTCCTCAAATTTTGGGACAAACCCAGACCCAATCCATAATCATATATAATCGAAAACGAAAATTCTCACCTTGTTGATGCAAATTCTTACTGCAACACAATTTAATTGGGTTAGTTTTTCCTTGGCAATTAACATATATAACATAAAATTTTTCTACAATTCTTTAAAACAATCTTATATTTTGCAGTCAATATCAAACTGTAAAATAAAGTCTATTAAATTAAAAGAGGAAGGGGCTCCTATGATTGAATGGTTTATGTTATGCAACAAAACTTTTTGTCCTAGAAAATGGAGAGAGTTGAAATGCAATTAGGGTGTGTACCAAAAAGCACAAGAAACACCTACCTATTTCAAAAGATAATCTCCATATGATTAACATGTTGACCAGTCCTTGCGTCTTACTGTTTTCCTTTTAATTTCTTCACCTTCCAAACTCTCATATCCAAATTAATATGAAAACTTTCCAACATCAAAGACAAACCAACCACGTGAACCAATCCAAAACCAAAATGAGAACGTTAAATTTCACCCATGTTGTTTTCATTTCTTTTTCTTTGTTAAAATGAAGTGAAAGAGTGAAAGGAATAGATAACCATAAATAGTAGTAGGAAAATAATAGGGTGTGAAAAATGTGAAAATAACACTTTTTTGCCCTAGAAATAGTTGTTGAAGTTTGAATTGTAAAACACATAGAAGGGTTTATCCATACATTGAAGGGACCCACTTAATCAGCTGGTTATGTCATTCTAAAGCAATTCTTTCATGGACGGTTTCTAGAGATAGTGTCGCATTGAAATTTTAATGATAAAACACATATGAGGGATGTACTTCTCAACAATCAAGAGACTCATTTGAGCAAAAAAATTATGTTTTTTTTAACAGCAAAAAATAATATTTATTAGTAAACGGAGTACAAAAAGTACCCCAAACCCATAAACATCATAACTTAAGCAGTATCATATTACATGAGTGGAATAACCCTTCCATATGGTGTCGACTCTTGAATTATGTGTCAACACTATGTCCGTGTCAGAGTTTTGGATGCTTACCAGCACAAAAAATTATGTTAATGTAGTCTAGTGTAGTTTAGACCACTCAAAACATTTTTGCCCTAAAAAATCAAGAAAGATGAAATGCCATTGGGTATGATTCATTCAGTTATAAAGAATGAGGGTTCCTTTTTCGGCTTATGGAGTTATTATGTATGCCAAGAAAGTAAGAAATACCTACTCATTTGACAAATAATCTCCATATGATCAATATGTTCACCAGTTCCTATGTTTTCCCTTTTTTTTATCCTTTTAATTCCTCCGACTTCCAACTCTCATATCCATATTAGTTGGAGGTTAAACTTCCAAATTCGTCCCTTAAATAAAGGGGCAAGATAGATACGTCCTTCAAAAGAAAAATTAAGTATAAATTATTAATTAAAATAAATTAATAATTATTTAATATTTAATGTCATCACTCGCCAAGATTTCAATTGCTAGGTAAACTAAATTTGTTTTTAATAGACAATAGATGTATGATAACATCATAAGTTAAATAATGAAAAATTTGTTTTGATTGACAATTTAATGAGATAATTTGTCTTTATTTTTTTAAAACAAATCTATTTCTACTCTTCTATTTTAGGTTGAATTTAGGGGTTTAGACTTAATTGGAAATCTCTAAGAAACCACACACTAACTCTCCACGTGAACCAATCCAAAACTAAAATGCA